ATGCACTGGTCATTTAGTGGCAGGTTATGTTTTTATAGCAGTTGCATTGACTTTTAGTAGGATTATTATTCGGTATTTTGTTTACTTGCTTAATATATTATTGTTATGTTGCAATATATAATTATCAATGTTTTTAGTACAGGTATAGCTTACCTTAATATTATTTTTGTTAAAAATCTTTTTTAATATTGGAGAATGACTAAAGAGCTTGTGATTTAAATTTAGAAAAATTCTACCTACATGAGTTTGGACTTTACTATTGTAAGGTGGGTTGAACCATATGATGTTACAATTGCGTTATTTTAGCTTACTTTTATTTTTTATTGTTGTTTCTTTCTACATACTCTAATTTCACTTTATGGTTGTTGTTTGGTTTTTTTTTTTCTAGTGTTGTAGTATATTTAGCTTTATTATTGTCAAATAATTCTTTGTAACTGGAGCTGGTTGATAACCTAAATTGTTCTGATTTGAGTAAGTTGTCAAGGATCCTTTTATGGTGGTTGAATTTCCTGTCGATGTACCTGTAGTTGTAAGAATCCTTAGTGTTTGGTTTATACAGGACCTTATGTCAAATGTAACAACTAGGAAATTGATCACTTTAGTGTTAGTATTGGTGGTAATATTCATTTTATGGTCTTTTCTCATCCAGTCTGCTTGTCTTGGTCTCAATTTATGTAGGGGAATTATCCTGTTTTTTATGTCAGAGATAAATCTGAGTTTCCATAGCAACAGTATCCCTATAAGTTCACATGCTTCCATAAAATCATGTGCTACCATAAATATGAAAAAATCTGGCTTATTTCTCTTAGTCCATAGACATCCGTTATGGAATAGTATCGGTTTCTGTGCTTGTCCTATTTTTACTTCTTGGTCAAAGATATGTTGATCTTCTGTGATAGATAGAAGTCACAGATATCAAACTGCAAAAATGTGCATTCCTCTTTCTTTTTTATATTATTGAACCATTCAATAGTTTCAGCTGTATTTCACCACTGATTGATACCTAAAGCTTTTAGGTATTGATATCTAAAGCCTTTTTAGTATGCTTGCATGCTCTTTCCATGATGTTATTTTTGGACATATATATATTAATTAATGACTATCAAACACTTAAAATACCGTAGATAATAATCTTAATTTCATGAAAGCCATAAAAATAGCCTTCAATCTTTCAGACCTGCAAACCAAATATAAACAGAAAAACTTACTCCAGGTTAAATTCAAGAGACAGATAATGTATTGAGGGAGAAAGAGAAGGAAAGATTCAAGGTTATTTTTATAGCTTTCATGAAATAGATATTATTACCTATGGTATTGTGTTTGATAGTCATTAATTAATAATTTTGCTCTGTCTCCAACATAGAACTCTCCTTGGATCTTTATCCTCTTGGAAATTCCATACGGATTACCATTTTTATTTTACATATATGAAAATTTGAGAAAATTGTAAGACAAAATGTAAAAAGTTTATTTTTAGTATAAGTAAATATAAGCTAAATAACGAGATATTAGCGTGCATACACAGATAAGCAAATAAATACTTATTTAATTTAATTTATGGTGCAAACAAAACAGTGCTTAATGAAGTTAAATAGAGTTATGAAATATATATTAGTAAATACACATATCTATGTTTGTAGTGCAACTTAAAGTTTCTTGGTTTTCCAAGTCATCAGGCACTTAAGAGCCATTTATTACAGTTGGTTTTTCTTTTTAAAATACTGGGTCTCATGGTAGGAATGCTAAATTATATGCAAATTCAAAGGTCAAAGTTAATATAAACCCAATATATTATTGGGGTGTAAATTTTATTTATCTTACAACCCAATGAAACCCTGGGCTAATGAATAGGTTTCAGATAAAGTTTCTTTGCGACTGAAAAATAAAAAACAAAATTTATTGAAAAAAAGCTTGAACAAAGTAACTAGTAAAAAAAAAAAAAAAAAAAAAAAAAAACATTTTGTTTATACAAAATGTTTTTTTTGTTTTTTTTGCTATGTTAGAGAAAGCATTACCTCTCACCATCACCAGTGAGACACACTCAAAGAGCCACTCTATTTCTTTGCTCAGCAATGAAAGTGTTAATGGAATCATTGTGGGAATTAATTGTTCTAATTAGTATATAAATGACTTATCTGTTTGCTTTTTTGTTATTTCTTTATGAAAAGCTGTCTGTATGTAGAACAGGTCAGCTGAAACATGGTTGTAATGCAGGAGTTCAATTATCCAAAGCATAGACTGTAACTGAAGTAGTTAATGTTGTTTTTCTTTTTATAAAGTTCATGTACAATTTTAAATACTTATACCTTTGATAGAATTAATCTACAAGAAAGATAAGGATTTTCTTTAATTTACTGTTCTATAGATACCACATTTTCCTCACTTATATTTGGTCTGCCAGACCATGGTTTATCATTGAAAGAACCTGTTTCCTGAAATTTTTCCATCCATTTGAAAATGGTATTCCTATGGTATGCTTCTTTATTGTAATGAGTTCTAAACCTTCTTTGGACAGCAGCAACTGATTTTATCTCAGCCAACCAAAGAGCACAATTTAGTTTTTCTTCTAGTGAAGCCAGGGGTAAATAAGAATTCTGGAGGCAGAGGGTTCATTTTGAAGTTTCAAGAAATATATAAATAATAGGTAAAAAATAAAAATTGTTAAAAAATATTTTTTGAAAGATTAATTCTATCCTGAATAACTCTAAAATTGTAAGTACCATATTTGACGGTATATAAGATGCACAGGTGTATAAGCTGCACCCCAATTTCAGCAGGGCAAATCAAGAAAAAAATAGTAATTGATAAAATTAGTAAACCTAGATATGGCATATAAGACACAGGGGAATTTTAAAAGATATTTTTATTTAAAGAAAAAAAGTGCACCTTATATGCCGTCAAATACAGTATTTTAAAATTGCTTGCTGTATTACTACGTCTTTTTGAGCTTTGTTGATAAAGGGTCTTCTATCAGAAGCTTGTTCATTTTTGATGATGTGTTGTTTTTTCTATATTAACCCGGTGTGTTGAGTGATAAAAAGACAGCAAGAATTAGAGACTTCTTTATATGTCTCAGAAAATGATGCATGTTGCACTAAGGATATGTATCTGTAATAGAGTTGCTCTGACTGTACAGTCTAATTCTCAAATTGTTCTGCAATTGTGATCTGTGGGTGATGTCACCACCACCTTGTATTTTTGACAGCAAGTTTTAATCTACTATGGTCCAGAGATTACAGCTTCAAAGGAAACTATCTTTTTGCAAGTCTGGAGACTGTGGAAAGCCCACCATACAACATTCAGTTTTTGGTCATGTGTCTGACATGACTAAGTCAGTGCAAGTAATTTTGGGTGAGTGAGGCAAAGAAGCCCTGCATTTCTGCTCACACCAGAATGTTCTTGTTTGCTGGGTGGGGGCCACAATTCTGCCAGGTGACAGCTGGAATCCAATCAGCAGGAAATCAGAGGAAAGAGACCTGCTGCTGACCCTATTTAAATCTTCAGTTGGGTCTATAAAGGCAGTTACTCTCCTGCAGCCAATCATTGATCTTTCAGTTGCAGGACGACTCAACACCGCTGACTCCTCTTCATGACAACTCGACTCCAGGACAACTCCTCACCGGACTGCTTACAACTTTCCTTCTGCATTTATTCGTTTTCCTCATGGCTGAAGCATCTGGCAATAATCCCAGTGTAACCTGAGATAAATTTGCTAACATTTCACTTATTACGAGACTTGGCTTTTCAACATTGTCTTCAGCCCAACATTTCAAGGCTGTGTGCATTTAACCACTTCTACATTGGCCGCTGACGCATTGTGGTAATGCTTGTTTACTTTCTTGATAACTGCTCCAAACTGTGTATGAATTCTTGCATTGCAACTAGAGCCTTGGTCACAACGCTAAAAGTTAATGTTGCTGTCTGTTTTACTAAACTTCTCAAATACAAATAAATGGCCCTCATGTGCAAATTTTTATTTTCCTCTTTAAGTAAGAATTTCCATTCTCGGTGTGATGAAAAGTATGAAAAACACCACTTGAATTATGTTAGCCTTAAAAATCCAAATATTATTTCTGATTCTTCCATAGCTTTTAGTTTGTGCTTATGTCATTTGCTAGTACAGATTATCCCAAATATAATTTGCACATTTCTTACTGATATGGTGTTCCTACCCTGTCAGATTTGTTTTTGTATTGATATTAAGCAGCTTGCTGCATTCACTTACAATATACTGTATTGTAGTTTCTTCACACAGGCAGCATTTGATATTTTGTTGATACTTGTCATTGATGTAATTGGCTGCTGTTATCAATAAGCTTTGTCTTCTATTTTCAAGTATCCTCCATATAATCTTATCAGGTCACTTTGTCTGCAATTACTTTTATGTCCTGAATTCTCTTTGTATCATTTTTTCTTCTCTGTCCTTATTTATTGGCAGATATTTTCTGCTATGTTCAGGTCATTTTATCCATAATTTCTTTTGTTTCCGTTCTCTGAAGTTGGTGGTGTTTTTCTTTCCATCTTTAATTTTTTGCATTTGTATTTGTTTGTATCAATTTTGTGCAATTTCAGACCCAAAAAACAGTGTACCAAAAAGATGTTTTTTTTTCTCTTCACACTGCAATTACTGTATATTTCATTGGCAATTTGTATTGTTTTAAAAAGCTATTTTTAGAATTTTAATAAATCCCAAAGATATGAAACTCAAATGAAACATTTTTTATCAAGAATTAACAAACACAATTTCATTAAATTGTTTATTTACAAGAATAATCTTATATTTACAAGATTATAAAAATATGTAAACCAACACCAATGCAATATTATTTACTGTATTATAAAGAAATAATTATAAACACATAAATTTATAAAAATGCCTGAGAATAAGAAAATTTAAATAAACATATAACAATGAGTAACTGTAATTATAAATTTTGAAAATATGCTTGCTTTTTTTCCAGACCTTCTACATTTTCTTTCTTTTTTCTTTTTTTTTCCAGACCTTCTACATTTTCTTTCTTTTTTCTTTTTTTTTCCAGACCTTCTACATTTTCTTTCTTTTTTCTTTTTTTTTCCAGACCTTCTACATTTTCTTTCTTTTTTCTTTTTTTTTTCCAGACCTTCTACATTTTCTTTCTTTTTTTTTTTTTTTTTCCAGACCTTCTACATTTTCTTTCTTTTTTTTTTTTTTTTCCAGACCTTCTACATTTTCTTTCTTTTTTCTTTTTTTTCCAGACCTTCTACATTTTCTTTCTTTTTTCTTTTTTTTCCAGACCTTCTACATTTTCTTTATTTCTATTTTTCATTTTTTTTCCAGACCTTCTACATTTTCTTTATTTCTATTTTTCATTTTTTTTCCAGACCTTCTACATTTTCTTTCTTTTTTCATTTTTTTTCCAGACCTTCTACATTTTCTTTCTTTTTTCTTTTTTTTCCAGACCTTCTACATTTTCTTTATTTCTATTTTTCTTTTTTTTTTCCAGACCTTCTACATTTTCTTTCTTTTTCTTTTTTTTCCAGACCTTCTACATTTTCTTTATTTCTATTTTTCATTTTTTTCCAGACCTTCTATATTTTCTTTATCTTTTTCTTTTTTTTTTCCAGACCATCTACATTTTCTTTATTTCTATTTTTCATTTTTTTCCAGACCTTCTACATTTTCTTTATTTCTATTTGTTCATTTTTTTCCACACCTTCTATATTTTCTTTATCTTTTTTTTTTCCAGACCTTCTACATTTTCTTTCTTTGTATTTTTCTTCTTTTTTTTTTTCTAGTCCTTCTACATTTTCTTTCTTTCTATTTTTCTTTTTTTTTTTCCAGACCTTCAGCATTTTCTTTCTTTCTATTTTTCCTTATACATTTTCTTTTTTCTTCTCTTTTTCCCTAGAATTTATACATTTTTCTCTTTTTTTCTCCAAACCTTATATATTTTATTTTCAGATTATGTCATATCTCTGATTCCTTCTATTGTATATATTGGAAAAATGAGGTTGAAAAAGAAAGTCGTCTGATATGAGAGTTCAATCAATGTAAACAATGGTGTGAAGGAAACAGACAACAATAACAATGCTTGAATGAAAGTTTATGGAAATCAGAAAGACAAACTTTATTTTACAATAAAAATCCCAAAGGAAAAAATTACATGAAATAAAGTGCATTAATAATGTTTTTTATTATAGTGCTATGTGAATTTTCCCAGCCATTTAACTCAAAATGTCTAAATAAAAAAGGCGATCACCATACTTACTTTACAATTACAAACATTTGCATTACAAACAGCGGAAAAGAAGAGGAATTACTCTGATTATTTTCATATTATTATTATTATTATTATTTGTTATTAATTAAAATCATAACAGATTCAAACAACTTCAAGTTTAGAGTTCTTAAAAACATTATAAAATTTGATTTAATCTTTTAAAAAAAAGTTACAGGCTTACAACAAATACACTTTCTTTTTGATGAATGACACACCATTTCATCTTTTGCTGCAATCAGTTGTCTTGAAGATGCTTCCATTCAGCATATTTGGCAAGCTTCTCATGCCTCCTGCCAAAAATGCTCAAACTCTCTTCCAATCTCTGTCAGAAATTTGTGTTTCTTTGCTTCTCTGTAGCCTCTCTCCTCTCAAAAACATACAAATTCATGCTTTTATGCATGTCTAAAGCATGGCTAATCCCAGACGAGTCACAAAAAGACCATATATGGGCGAAGTAAACAAAATAAGACACCCCTTCTTTAAATTTCTACAGATCTTCTTTTTTTTAAAAAAAAAAAATAAGCAGATGATAAAAAACTTCTGCCAAATTTAACACTTTTACATTATTTTTTAATATAAAAATAAAATACAGTTCACCAGTAAAATAAATGCACATACATAATGACAAAAATTTATTTTTATTACTTTTAAATTTAATTTCCAACATATAACATCATAAAATGGGCAATATTTTTATTGTCAATTGTGATTGGTGGTATTATATATAGGTCCATTTTTTGGGTTGTGCTTTAGCCTGCTCACTTCCATTATGCCAGTGTCTGCATCATCATATTCTTGTAAAATATTAATTTTTCATTACCAGTCACTAATCGGTCCAAGAATGTCAAGATGTCCTTACAAAAGTTCAGATGTTCATTTTTGCTTTTGTCAAATCCTGGTGCACTTCACTTTTTTAACTTGTTACAGTGATCTGTTAAATGCCTTAAATTCCTCCTTAGAACGACTCCATTCACTAACATTTGATAAATCTCTTCCACTATTTGTTTTCTAAGAATTTTCCATGTCAAGAAGAGTCTGTCTGTAATTATTCACTCTGTGATTTTTGGGGATTAGTTGTTTTGCCTTTTGTCACCTATTTTGGAATGCTTATTCCCAGCAGACTTCTCTTTTTTTTTTCTTTTTTTTTTCCATGCAATATCATGAATCTCTCCAACAAAATCTGTATTTCATTGTGTCCACTCTTTCCAGTCAGCCACTTTACTTGGTCTATTCCTCAAAGTATTGGAGTATTTAAGAAATAATTTTATTTTTAAACCCACACTAATTAGTATAATTACAAAACAAAATACAGTTTATCATGTTCTATTGTTTTCATGTCTTTTTGCCATGTTTGAATCCCCGGTGAAACAACTCTTTTGGTTTTGAAACAAAAATGTTTATGTCATCTCTCTTCAAGGTCTTAAGCATTTACAAAGCTTCGTCCACAGAAAAATGATGGTATAGATTAGACACTGTGATAATATGAAAGAGCAAAATCCCAACTCATGTGAAGGCATTGTTCTAGAAGTGTGAAGTTAAGCAACAATGATTATCACAGTGAGGTACTTAAATTAAAGTAGGGTATTTATTCTTCAAAGTGAATGGTTTACTTAAAATTCCACCAAACACTAATCATGAACTGCTTTTGGAAGATTCTGCAGGTCATTTACGATTTGGCCATTGCTTCCAATACATAAGTGTTGTGGTGTCCTCCCTCTAAAGAGTCTATGTTGGACTCTTCCACCTACTATAAGATTAGAAGGAGAGAAGAGTCAAACATAGACGCTTTAGAGGCAGGACACCACAATAATAAGTAAACCTACTTCTCATCGCTTTTTTGATAAAAAGTTACATCCAATGTGGATTTTCAAGAAGAATTGCAAATAAAATTGATAATAATCACTGATTAATGTGATTGCATTTCTGCACGAGTTCATAAGAAACCTCTCTAGAGTACCTATATATATATATATATATAATGTTTTGCGTATGATATATTTTAATGAGCCTACTCTTCTGAAAATGCTGGACTCACCTTTACCTTTGCATTTTAGAGTATCTCAATCGACAACTGATGGTCTTTCACTTCTAGGCTTTATTTCAAAGGAAAAGTCACTACCCTTAAAAACTTCATAAAAAAGAAGTTAGAGCATTACATCAGCTTCAAAAAGACCTTTTTTTTTTATTGGTATCACACACCCCCACCCCCCAAGCAAAGCATTACAGCCACTAAAACGCAAGGGGTTACCAGGTGCGAAAGAACTAGGAACAGAAACATTAATGAGCAGAAAGAGAGAAGAGTAAGAGGACAACAGAACAATTGGCTGGAAAACATGGAGCCAGAAGATAGTTACACAAGTGAGAAAAGAAGCTGTTAGCAAAGAACTTATGGCTACATCTAGCCAGCTAAACTATAAATTGAGATCTCTACGCTGGTCTAGTACTGTGCTTAAATTCATAAAGTCTAGGTGCCTTAGCGAAGAGCTCATCTGAACAATTACCATGAAAGTATTTATTAAAAAAAAAAAAAGGCACAGTGGTAACCTTATGGCAGTTGGGCAAGTGACTGAAGCCAAGCTGCCAGATCAGGACTAATAATATTGCTAATTCTTTGCCATATTTTTCTCTTATACTGGTCCCCTTTTCATCCACGTAAATTTGTACATCATTCGGTCACTACATTTATAATATTTTGAAAAACTACGGCCTCTGTGATAATTCCAATACAAATAGATTTAAAAGAACTTGGAGAATAGAAATAGCATTCAATAACTGATTTTATAAAATAACAATTTTGGTATTTGATGTGTGAGTAAAGTTCCTCATGTTCTAAAATATCTATACGAGTGTTAGTAAGAAATATCAGATTAATTTATGTGGGTTTGTTTTTTTTTTGTTTGTTTGTTTTTTTGGATTGAATGTTTATATGAAATAAAAGTAGTGTATAATATGTCTGTAGTTGTGTGTATGAGAAAAAAAGAATGTTTCTATCAGTTGAGAAAAATCAAGTCCTATATGTTGGGTTCTTGAAAATGTCTTGAAGAAATAACCGACGCTGCTTCCACTAGCAGTGGTTGAAAAAAGGACCCTGAAACTAATTCTGCTTTCCATTATATACTCTTTGTTGAAAGAAGTGCTGGATCTTACAGCTATCCAGGCAGCCGGTTCTCTAATTGGCTGAAATATGCAATCCTAATTTCTTACTTTTTTAAGTTGAAAGAAATGTAAGTTCTGTGCCAAGCCTACCTGCGTATGAGCATGTATTTTTCATTTGCATTTTTGACTCTGAAACATTAACATCCTGTTCAACAAGGTTTGTGTCTCCACATTAAACTAATTGCATGCTATAGTTAAAATAAAAAAAAAAATACCTGCACATTTCAAGAAATATGAAACCAGAAAGTAGAGCAAAATATTTCTTGTTTTAATTTTCTTCACAAAATGACCCCTTTATTCCCTGCTTTGATTGACTAGGGTGGTTAAAGAAGCTTCAATAATATCAGGTATAAAGATGGGTTTCTATTTTTGGGGGTGGGGTGTAAGAATATGTCTGGCTGTCCAGCAAAATAGCTTTGTTCTAGCTCCTTTCCCAGAATGCCTTTTTGACCTCAGAATATGAATTCAAGCATCCACAAATGCACATGCGTGACAAACACATGCACTAATAGCTTAAAGAATACACCTTATCATCCTGCCACTAGAAGCGTATCAGATAACCAATATTAACCTAAACATGACAATCACCGTCACATCCAGCTACCTGGCGTATTGTATTTTACTCAGGAATTTTAGAAATTAAAAACTAGTGTCTCTCTGTCCACTTCAAAAGGCACAGATTTTGTGACCGTGTGTTTTAGTGTGACAACTGACTGTTTTTGAAAATAACCCAGATACCTAGAGATGCATGTTCTTGTAGAAGTTGTAACAATATAACTAAAAGTTATTTTGGCTGTAACAAAAAGCCTTCCATGTGATTGGAGTGGAAAGTTGTCATAGATGAGACAAAGTTAGATGTTTTTGAGAAGATGACAAAACATATCTAGACTTCAAAATGTTACTATCACAACATTCAATGTAGCGTATATGAATATTGTTATCATATGCACTTCAATAATCTGATATTGTTCACATTACAAACACAAGCAGTATATTAAATATTTAGATATTGTGTAAGTAAGGTCATTTTTTCTGTTAATTTTACTATTATTTTCATGACAACTACTCTGACAAGTTTTTTTTTCCCTGTTGCTCCGACTGCATGAATTTAAGCGTGCTACTAGACTGGCATCTAGATCCTGTCCATTTATGGTTGAAATAGCTAAATGCAACTGCCATTTCTATTCTAACAGTTTCTTTTCTTGCACTTGCCGCCTGTGGAACTCCCTTCTGTTTCTTTGCTTCCCTGATAACGACAATCTTCAAAAATTTATGTGCAACATCAATCACCATCTTCTATTTTCTTGAATCCCGTTCATCTTTTGTCCTTTCCTCAATCCTCCCTATACTCAGTCTTTTCTCTCACTTTCACCTCCTTTGTACTAGTGACATTCCTGCTTTGCTTAGGTTGAAATGATTTTTTAAAAAAATGTACAGAATGCAATATTTGCAGAACAGAAATTACTTGAGGATGAACACAAAAAATAACACTGTACTTATAGACTGCCAGAAAAATATTTGCAGAACAGAATTCACTGCAAAT